CTATTTCTTTGTAAGTAGCCATAAGTGGTTTTCTAACGTGGCAGACTCTAATGTATAAGATGAGTCCTTTCATAATAAAGCTTCATCTATGAGAAAAGCAAATGTGAGTCATCGCCACTAGATGACACCCCTTTGGTTTGTGTGCGGGAGGTTTTTTTTTTTTTTTTAAGATTTATTTGTTTCTATTTTGTGTGTGTGCTTTGCTTGCATGAATGTCTATGCACCATATGCATACAGTGTCTGCAGAGACCAAAAGAGAACATTGGATCCCCCGGGACTGGAGTTACAACTGGTTGTGAGCCGCCATGTGGGTGCTGGGGCTTGAACCTGGGTCCACTGGAAGAGCAACTGTGTTCTTCACGGTTGAGCCCTCTCTCCAGCCCTAGATGACACCTCTTTAAATAATTATTTGTTTATTCAATGGATATTTATGGAGTCCATAGTATACCTCAAACATCAAGGATACAATGCTAAGCAAGCAAGACACAGTTTCTAGCTTCATGATCTTGGAGGCTGAAAGTAAGCAGCCTTGATTAAATGCAAATAATTATGCAATTAATATTTAAAGAGGAAACCTGAAATATTGTTGATGAGAATATTAAATTAGTAGAGCTACTGCATGGAAATCTCTTTAAAAAAAAAACAACTATAAATAGAAGCCACCCCACTCCTGCATGTAAACCCCAAGGAAAAGAAATAAAGGTTTCATGTCAAGGAGATATTTGTGGTCTCATGTTTTTGAACTATTGACAAAAGCTAAGGTCCAGGGTCAACCTGGGCTTTGAACAGATGAATGGCCAGTCTGGTCTACAGAGCGAGATCCAGGACAGGCACCAAAACTACACAGAGAAACCCTGTCTCAAAAAACAAAACAAAAAAAAAAATAAAATAAAACCCATATTTGATACTTATAAAGGAAGATAGTTGCTATAAAAGGAAACAGTTTCGATATTCTCACCTAAATAACCATCCCTTGTGTGATAAACTGAAGATTAATTATCTTACTCGTGTATGCATGGCCTTTTCCTTGGAACAATCGCAGGTAGGAGAAACACATCACCCACGATGCAATGGGCTATTTGCGCTCCTGTCCATACCAGCGGAGACGTGGTTAGAGAGATGCTGTGCTTTTGGGCGCTCTAGTCCTTAACAACCGAAGCAGAGACTCTGGCTTGAAGATACAACTGGCTCCCTGGTTCCCTGTCCTACGTCTATGAACCCAGGCCTCTGAGGCCACAGGAAAAGGAACTCGAACTCCAAAGAAGCTCCCATGCAGAGTTCTTGGACTGTGTTTGCCTCCAAGACTCACACATCCACTTTAATTAAGACCCTTTGGGGGCCTGGGGACCCCAGGAGAAAAGGCCAGAATGCCATTATCACCTGAGAGAGGCTGAAGGCTCCCACTGCTGGCTGAGGCTTAGGCCGGCTCTGCCCCATGGAGAGGGGCTTCCTAATCCCTAGCACCTCGGAGTGTGAAGAGGAGCAGGTCCACTTCAAACAGGACCTGGGCCTTGAGCGTGTTTGGACTGACAGGAAGGGGGGGGGGTGTTGTGAAAAGTCTTAGATTCAAAGTGAAGTCAGCCAGCCGGCAGGACAGTCACCATCAGCACCGGGACCCAGAGGAAGCCTAAGTCTCAGCCTCCATCACCCCACCCACCCCCAGCCCTGGAGCTGGCCTTCCTGGGCTGGGGATTCTTTGAAGTCCATGAGGATGGTTTTGACAACAGATGGGACAATTCCCTGCGGTTCAGTTTGGTCCAGGCAGATGGAAGACGGGAGGAGAGTATTGCCTCATAATAAAGAACACGGCTTTAAAAAAAAAAAAAAAAAAACCAAATTCTTCTCCTTTCAGGCCTCATGGAGGAATTTGGTTGAGCCACTCTTGGCTTTAAGTAGAAGCTGTTCTCAGAAGAGAACGACCCAGATTCTGCCATGGCGCTCGGGGGGGGGGGGGGTGAAATGGTCCAGACTTTGGAATTGGGGTGAAGTGAGTTTGAATTCCAGCTCCACCCCGCTCCACCATCCCATGATGCTCTCTAAACATTTGGTTTTGACCCTTCTCAGGCTCTTCCCCCACCCCACCCCACCCCCGTGTGAAAAATAGGGCTTCTGGGTAGCCTAACAGGGATGTTGTGAAACAGACGTAGGTCACCCCATAGGTTTCTATCTTTATATACATAGAGAATGTGCAGTTAAGGCTGAAAATTATCATTAGATGCTTCCTTCATAAAGTATACAGATTGTTTTCAAATTTATCTATCTATCTATGTATCTATCTATGTATCTATCTATCTATTCATTTACATTGAAACCGGATCTCACTATGTAGCCCTGGCTGGCTTGGAACTCATTATGTATACTAGGGTGGCCTCGAACTCACAGAGATCTGCCTGCCTCTGTGTTCTTCTGAGTGCTGGGATTTAAAGGCGTGCGCCACCATCCCTGGAGTTTTCAGATGTTTTGTTTGATTTTGAGCTACAAGTAGATTCACTTATTCAAGGATACAAAGTTGGCAGAGATGCCAGGGCCAAGCTCTAACTAAGGTCCTGCCCTTAGAATCTGCTGGACCAATGGAGCTGGGTTTGGAGAGAGCGCAAATTCTTGAGCAATATAGGGAAACTCCCAGGTCCTCAGTTGCCCCACTTTGTAAAACAGGGATGCATTTCCCTCCCTGAGAGTCTGTGATGGGAAAGGTGAACTCCCTCGTCTCTTCTAACAGCTCACCTGAGGTGTCATTCAGGCTCTCCTTCTTTGCATAGCCCCTCATGGAAATTTTTTAAAAGTGAAAGTAGAGAAAGCGGTGCACGATGTCTCCACGAGCCCCGCAGCCAAGTTAACAGCTGCAAATGGGATTAAAACAGGCTCCATTTAGAAATGAATATTTGGGCAAAGTTGGGACCAGCAGATATAAAACACATGAAGAACAAAAGATCCATCTCCATCATTAAGTTTAGTGCCAGACAGAACAATAAACACTGAACGCTACATTATTATTATCACCATCATTGTTATAATTTTTCCCTAGAATTATTAAAGACCTCTGTAGTTTATTTCTTATCCAAAGAGCACAAAGCACTTTCCCACATTCCTTGCCATATGAGATGGTGTTTGCTGCCGTTGGGGAAGGGTAGGTAAAGGTAATCTGGTGCGCTGAAGTGTCTCTGTGACCCCAAATAAGAGCTTGACAACTGTTCCACTAACTCTCCTTGTTCTCGCTACCGATGGCTGTCGATCCTGAAGTTCCATCCCCCTGCTGAGCTCTCTGGTTTTCTCCTCTGCAGACCTGGACTTCACCCCACCCTCCCCAAAAAGGGGTGGCAGGACGGGATGAGAGCTTAATGTTCTAAGTCACATGGTCTGGGACGGAGGGCTGTGAGGACGAGAGCCAAGTACACCAAACTAGCTTGAAAATGAGTTCTAGATTGAATTTCCTCTGTTTGAGTTTCAGGGGCATGTCCCCCACCCCCACCCCCGACCCCGCTCCCCGCGAACAAGTACATTTACTCTTTTACATAGTTGAAACGAAAGGACACACAGAGAAACACTGAAGCCAAAAATAGGACCTCAAGAACTCAGAAGTGAATTCTTGGCTTAGAGTCGCCTCCCCTGTTCCATTAGATTTTCAGCTCCTCAAGGGCAGGACCAAAGCCTGTCGCACCTCCAGCCAGGAAGGCAGGACCTGGGCAGATGCTGGCTGGGTCATTTTCCTCCCCTCCTCCCCCCTCCCCCGCCCCGTCCCTCTCCCCTCGCCCCAAGACAGATTGGGATGGACTCCCATCTGTGTGGTCCCAGAAGAAACGACCAGAAAAGTCTATAAATAGATATTTAGAAACAAACCCAAACGGGGTGCTTTTCCTGTCCGCTCCGCTTTGGGAACCCTCTCATCAGTTTGTGCCCTTGAAAAAAAATACGAGGAAACAGGAAAGAAAGGGAAACAGTTCCATTTCTGGAAAGATAAGGATGAAGTCCGATAAAGGCGAAAGGCATTTGGGGGTCAGTAGAGTTAAAACAAACTCAGATTACTCAGCCTGTTTGACGATGACAAGAAACAGAAAATGGCCAGGGCCCTCGGGAGTGCCAGGCAGCTTAATCAGCATTGCATCAATAGGGGCGCCCAGTGGGACGAGGCCAGGCCACCAGACTCTGTGGAAAAAGTCCTGGTTAGTGTTACCTACTGAACATTCAGAGCGTGTGTGTGTGTGTGTGTGTGTGTGTGTGTGTGTGTGTGTGTGTGTGTCTGTACCCTGTGTGTGTGTTTGTGGGCATGTGTCTCTATGTGTGCATCTGTGAGTGTGCCTCTGTATATGTGCCCCATACATGCCTCTATGTGCCTCTATGTATGACTCAGTGTGTGTGTGTGTGTGTGTGTGTGTGTGTGTGTGTGTGTGTGTGTAAGAATGACAGGAAGGATCACGGATTTGATGTGCACATTTTCTCATTACGTTAATGGGATTAATTCCCAAGAAGATTCTGGAACAGTGGTTTATTTTGTGTAGTCCTCAGCTCAGTCTACTCCCTTTCTTCAGCTCTGTCACTCGGAATTTAATCGCTGTAGAACTGGGCAGGGCATGAAGAAAACACAAGTGTCATAACAAACACGCTTCATTTCTAGTAAGGCTGTTACCTTGATAAAAGCCTTTTAATTGAAAGTGGTTCCTTTACAAAGACCAGGGCTCACAACACCTTCCTCTCGACACAGAAATATTTACATAAAACACTTCCAGCCCCAAGCCGGGATGGAATTCTCAGCAGCCCCTCTCCTCCCAGGAAGCCGAGATGTTACCTTGCCGTGGCTGCAGCTGCTTCGGTGAACATACAACACTGGAAACGGAAACGTGTCTATTTCAGCCTCCTGCGTGCTAGCACCTGGGGGAGTCACTGCCTTCGCAACTGCGGTGGAAAGACCGTGCCCAGAGCTGGTGCCCACACAGTGCCCTTCCTCGTCTGGTTCCTTTCCACACAAGGCGTTAGTTTGATTCCAATAGCAGAGCTGGGCTCACCTTAGGAGTACAGCGAATCCCCGGATCACATCTGCAGCCCTTGGAGATTTCCTGATACGATCCAAGTCCGGCCACACTACCCAATCCTCCCTTCCTTTCTGAAGAGCCCCGCTCTTCTGGAGACCCTAAATAAGCCCTTGTCAACGGAATGCCATGGAAACAGCAGATCTTTGGCATAGCGGACCCTGTCATAGAGGCAGAGCAAAGTGACAGTAATATAACGTGTCCCCAGAACAAGGAGTGGATGAATTGCCCAATCTTGGCTCTTTGCCCAAACTCACCTTTTCTTAATGTACCTTCTAAGAAATTTTTTTAAAAAATTCTCTTTTACCCTTTCTTCATGTCATTACAAAGACCCAGTTTGGGTCTTCTCTCTGTCTCCCTGGCTGTCCTGGAACTCGCTCTGTAGACCAGGCTGGCCTGGAACCCATAGAAATCCACCCACCTGTCTCTGTCTCCTGAGTGCTGGGTTTACAGGGACGAGCCACCATGATCAACGGACCCATCCCTTCTGCCCTGAGATCTGACTGCTGGCCTATCAGGAGGGGAATGAAGAGACCGCTTCCTCCTGGCCCAGGTGTTTGTAAACAAGGCTCTCCCTTCTACAAAGGAAACGACACTGAGATTCCTCTCAGTGCATCAGAATTTCACCTCCGCACTACTCATTCAGGAAACCTTGGAGGAGGGTCCCCCACCTTCCACTCCCACCCCCACTCCCACTTTCCTTTTGGCAAATAGCTTCCAGATGTGGTGTGCAGAAAGCGCTTTATTAAAATATCACACGGTCGTCAATGCCCCATAATTTCTTCTTCTGTCACCTTGATCCGAAGATGAAATAACAAAGCACCAGTCTTGGGAAGCTGAAAGCACTGTGTGTTGCCTGTGATCAGTGTGAAAACTAAGGCGGCCTTGCCCTTCTGGCAGCGCCTCCAGCTACCCTCCCCTGTCTTTTCCAATGCACTTCACCGCACTGTGTAAAGTACTCATTTATCGGGTTCACCGTGGATCGCCCATCTCCTTTACGGCGATATGAGCACCCCAAAAGCAGGGTTCCTTGCTTTATTCACCGAAATACCTGAGACTCTAGAACCAGGCCTGACGCACTGTGCTTGCTCAGATAAACATGTTAAGTGAAAGAATGAATGAACAGATGGGTGAATGAGTGAATGAATGGCCAGTGTGTCAACCTCCATCCACTCCTGACCTCAGAGTTTTCACTAATGCTATGCAGCTTTTGTGCCTCCCAGGCCACTAAGTGCCCAGTGAGAATTTTCCAGGTCCCTTTCGCCTTCTCTAACTCCTTTTATCTGCTTCTGTGCCCCAAGTAATCATTTTTATCTCTGATAACAAGGTCTTTGGGTGTTTATGCTGCAACCTTTGTTTTAGTTTTATTTATTTATTTATTTATTTATTTATTTATTTATTTATTTATTTATTTATATTTATTTTACCACGGGTCATTAATTTTATCAAATTCCTAAAGAGATTTCAGGTAGGTCTCCATGTTGTCCTTTCCTTTCTCCTTTCCTGGCTCTCGGTCTACACAATTAGCGCCTCATATGGGCTTCTAATTGGCCTCCCCGCCAGGGGCTCTTTTGCTTTTGCTCATCGTGGTTTTGATCTCAGCAGCCCTTTTCCAAGCCGCTCTGTGATCTCTTAGAGCCCACCCTCCTGAGCAGTCAAAAGGCCAGGAGTCAGGTCTTGAAAAAAATAGAAAGTGTTGCACAAATGAGTAGCTGTATGCCGAGGTGGAGGAAGGAACCCGGAGAAGATCAGAATTGGCAGTCCGCAAAGGTAGAAATCCCTGCTGGGAAGACATGAGGCCAGGCAATCCTCAATCCATAGAGGGGAGTAACCAACGAAAACAGCATTCCAGGAAATAGTTTGGTGAATGGATAAGGTTGCTGTGAGAGGGAAGACTGAAAAGTTGTGAGCTGTTTGACAATTAGCAATTGCCTAGTGAGTGCCCGTTATATTTCAGGAAGTGTCAAAGATATCGAGGAGAGGGCAGAAAACTTCTTGGGATTCTGGGAAAGCACCAAAGACCAGTACAAGACAAGCCTAGCCTCTGTCTGATGCTTGTCTGGCTGCTTCTCCTGATCCAACATAATTGCTCAGATTAGAAATATAAATCAATATAATGTTTTTTTTATTTATTCTTTGGTACTCTCATACAGATGTCAGACTTTTAATTACATTCATTTATTTAGTGTGTGTGCATGTGGAAGAAGTCAGAAGCCAACTTTTAAGGCAGTTCTCTCCTCCTACCATGTGGGTGCTGGGAATCAGACTCAGACCCATCATCAGGCTCATTGGCAAGTGTCTCTTCCCACTGACCCATCTTGCCACCCCAATCTCTAAGATTTAAAATTAGCACCACTACATCAGCTCTCTCAAGTTTGGAAAAATCGAGGAAATGCTTCCTCTGAGTCAGGAATCCATAAACGCAGCAAATGTCCAGAGAGTAAATATCTTACTTAGCCATGGAACACTCTGCTACTGCACTAACTCAACTCTGCCATTGTAACACAAAAGCAGCCCCCCACACAATGGCTGTGCTCCAATAAAACTTTATTTAAAAAAAACAGATAATAAGCATGACAGACCATAGTTCACTGACCTTTGCTGTAAGATACTCTTCTTTAGCCAATGTTCAATTTTAGTTAGGAGAGATAGTGCCAGAAACTATAAAGAAAATAGTCCCCCACCCCTGCTACTTGTACTGGGTGAGGGAGCTGACCCTCCCCTTTATCAGCTGCAGCACTCAGAAAAGTGGACCATGCACCTTACCTGGGCAGCACAGCAGAACTGACCCTATTAATGAGGGAGCAGGTGAACTGCCCCAAGAACAAGAACATGGGAGACCTGGCCCCATCTCTCATCTGCCATATGGTGGCATGGGCAGAGGAGAGACATCCCCCCCCCCCCCCCCCCCCCCCCCCCCCCCCACACACACACACACACACACACACACACACGTGCACGCCATCAACACCTAGGCAGATTGGAGAGCTGACTCTGAGGTCATAAGAGTGGGAGAGCTGCCCCTGTTCCCCACCAGCTGTATAACTCTGGAGAACAGGCCCTGCACCTCACCTGGGCACCACGATAGAGCCAACCCCATTGGCAGAGGGGTGGGTGAGCCAGTCCCAAGGTTGTGAGCAGGGGAGAGTTGTCCCCATTACTCATCCGTCATGTGGCTGCATGGGCTGGAGAGAGATACATCCTCCCCCTACCCCACCCATCAACACCTGAGGCAGGTGGGAGAGCTGGCCCTAAGGTCATAAGAGGAGGAGAGCTGTCCCTGCCCCTCATCAGCTGCAGCACTTGGAAGAGTGGCCCCTACACCATGCCTGGACAACACAGTAGAGCTGGCCCTGAAAGTGTAGGTGTGGGAGAACCTGACCCTGAGGATGTGAAAGCAGAACTGGTCCCGCCCCTTGCTCATTGCTGCAAGGGGTGAACTAGCCAGGATAATGTAGGAAGAGCTCACCCTGGTGGTGAGGGTAGGGGAGAGCTGGGGCCTGACCAACCCTGCACCTACCCAGGCCCAGAACTAGCATTTATGAGTTGGCCCACCCCAACATCCACCCCTTCTATGATCTTCTAGAGCATGTGAAGGGGCCAGAGCTGCAGACCCAAAGCTGCAGGACATCCACGACACAGGGCAACAACAGGACATCCAAGAGGAGTCCCAATGAGCACCCAACATTGATGGTATCACAGAGGCCTCGAACCAGACCAATGACTCTTTGCAATGAAAACTTGCAAGTAAAGATATATGGATAAAAGAGTTTACTGCGTGACTCACTGTGTCACACTTCGGCTTCCATGACAAGACTGGTTTTTCTTTTTTTCCCTCCCTTAAATTTTATTTTATTTTATTTTGTGGGGGAGGATGCAAGGGCAGAGAGCGGATATGAGGAGACGGGGAAATGAATGGGATGGAAATGCACGATGTAAAAGACACAAAGAATAAACAAAAAAGGAAGTTAAAAAAGAAAATAGAGTGTCTCTAGTCTCTCTAAAGAGTATCATTACAAAGCCTCAAGACCTGGGACAGAATGCCAACTTGAAGGCACTGAGGATGTAGCTCATTGGTACATCCCTGCCTAGAAATGCATGCAGGAGGTCGGGTTTTGGTTCCCACTCCTGTAAACCCCACCAAAAGAGAGTTCCAACTTTACAACAAGCTGCAGTACATTAGAAAACTAAGCCACAGTTCCTTGATGCCTAAGATGAGAGTCAGATCCCTGGGTTCAGATTTCAGCTCGGAGGCCAGGCTCACTGGTAGAGAGCATTTGCCCACCAAGGGCAAGGGTGAATCCCCCAAAGCAAAAAAAAAAAAAAAAAAAAAAAATCCCACCAAGGCAATCAGTCCCTTTCTATCTCTGTGAAGCTGGGCAAGACTCCTCTCTCTCCATGAACTTTTGTCTCTTCACACTGTTTTCCATGAAGATGAAAATTAGCTTCCTCATTGACTCAATGGGATTTTGCTTATCAAGGACGCCGGCACTAATTAAGCACTCTACAACTGTCGGTGATCACAGTTGTTGTTGTTATATTACTATGAAGTTTCCCAACACGTGGCTATTGAGACAATTTGTGAAAGGACGCCTTTCCTTATTCCACAGATTAAAAACAGGAGTGTTGTTCAGTTTACCACGGCACTGGGTAAACGTTTTTTCCACACCGCTGCAGGAAGCTGCCGTCACCCTGCAAGGCAGCCCCCGCGCTTCCGGGTGATTGCTTTCGAGTGGTTTTCACGTCCTGGAGATGATCATGCATAATGCATTATGCTTATGTCAGGTTGAAATTTTCCCATTGATTGGCCTCTTGCCTCCATCGAGGGCTTTGTGGGATGGGGAGTATTTTGTCTCTAGAGGAAGCTGCTCTTGCTTTCTCAGGCTCGTGAGCACAAAGGCTCTTTCAGGGATGGGTGTCTTCAAACCAACCAATGTGATTTTTGTCTCCAGTTACAACCAAGTTAAAATTCTGCTGTCCTCCTCAGACTTCCTGAGGTGGACGTGTGAGTGCCCCTACTTGTTCAGCACCTGCAGGAGAAGGGTCATGTGTAGCTCCTCCCATTTTGGGGAGTTGACACCCAGACAGAGTTAAAAAAAACTGAAACATTTGAGGTATTCTGTGACAGGCTACTGTGACCACAGTTTAATTCG